TCGTGATCAATGTGAACTTAATTAATATATCAACACTAATGATAAACCACTATTCTTTCATCTATTAGCTGTAATTTTCATATTACTTTAATCGTTTAAGAATTAAGCTTGCTGATATTAGATAAAAGATGCAACAAAAAAAATCTTAACTTAAAAATTATTCAGAAGACAAGAAAAAAAGAAAATAAGTAAATAACAAAAAATTGATTGATACCATTGAACTACTTATCTGCTTGTGAATAAATAATTAAATCATTACTGTCAAATAATTATTTGATAAATAATAACAGAAGAATGCTTTATGTATAGGCATAACGATGAAATATAAAATTTTATCATTTCATTCCATTATCGATATAATATTAATAGTAATATAATGGCAGAGATGTTTAGCTTTTACTTTGCCCGACCAATTGTTTCATTTTATTCTCTCTGAATCGATGAATAGGAATTAATCGAATTTCTCTATTGAAAGATTGCATTAATAATAATTTTGTACATACAGCTGATATAAGTGATACATCTTTTCACGAGAAATCTTTTAATCATTATCATCTGAATTAAATAATTTACTTAAACAATAATCCTTTTAAGGCATTATAAAGTTTAGTTCAAAATTATGAACTTGTTTACTTATTCATAATAAGCAATTATCGAAAGGACAAGTGTAATCAGTAAGCATTTGTCAAGGAAGCACTTCCAACTCTTTTTGTATAAGTGATTAGTAATCGTTCCATCATTTTTTATCCATTTCATTATTTCTATGTGAAAGTTTACTGTACTCATTACTCATCGAGAAGCCACAGAAACTGTGAATTTATATTTGATTTTTCACCTATTTCTTATTCATATTTGATTAATGCTTCACCATATTCTTTTCTTATCGTGTTTTACTTTTGAAAATCAATTTTTCATTTATTTTTTAAACTCTTGATAAGCTTTCATTTTATCAGTAGTTCCCGATAATGAAAAATTAAGACTTCTTTTCCACATACACGAATTTAATGTGATGAAATCTTAATCCCTGATTATAAATTGTATGCAGTTATTTGGATTCCTCAACCAATAAACGTTTCCAATATGTTATAAATATTATGACACGAAATGAAATATTAAATGATAAATCCAACTGAAAATAAATTAAATTTAAATGCATACAATTCATAAAAACTGCTAAGGTTTTTATAATTTTTTCAGAAAATTTCCGTATCGAAAACTGCCTATTGTTGACGTAGGATTTTTTTTTAAATCTTGCTTTATTTTTATTTTTTCCAAAAATTCGACAAGTTATAAAGCTTCTCTGTACTTCGCTCACATTTTATTGCATAGATACTTATCATTTTTGATTTCGGTAGTTTTAGTTTTCATATTTCAAATGTCACTGCACAAAACTAATAAATAACTAATACTTCTTTTCTTTAAAAATTAGATCTAAATTATTCAAATTTACCGCAAACTGTGTCCGTGGTATTTTCAAATATCAATTTTGAAATTTGATTTGATCACATTGAAGATGATCCTTCAATCATCAACGAAAATATTCAGATTTTTCCGAGCTTTTCATGATTCCATGAAGTAAGAAAGTAGAAAATAATTCATCGAATTTGGTTATTTTGGCAACATTGACCTTATTTAATTTTAATTTCAATAAAAAGTCACGAAAAGTTAAAACAAAATAGCAACATGCAATTCATCTTCTCCGAATGGACGCTACTATTTCTATCGGAATAAATTTTCCGTTTATTGATACGAAAGCCAAATCTTGGTTTATTTATCGTCCATATCAAAAGTTTGAGCAGAAAACAATTATTGTTCGAGAGAAGTAAAATTATTCTCGTGTTTATTTGTTTACATCGAAGAATAAAATTTTTTTTAACTACATTTTTGCAAATAACCACAGGAAAATCAAGTAAAATTTTTATTTTTTTTTGCACAGTTGAAGTACAGAATTCATGAACATAAATTGAGAAGAGTGATAATCATCAATTAACAAACTTTTCTGATTCATTACCATGATCGTCTCACCTGTTATTTTCTCTTCTTCTCTTCAGTAGTAAAATGATTTTTGACTGAAATAATACCTTTTGATTTCAAAAGTGCTCGGTTAACCATTACGTGTCATCTCACCATTTGCTCAAAACAGCTGCTGTTTATATAAAAATTGATATATTATATTGTTCTTAATGTGTGTGTGTGTGTGTGTGTGTGTCTATTGAGGACACCATCTGATGGCTTCTTTTTCATGTTTCCTTCAAACAATGACTTAATTTTTCGTTATCAAAAAGATTTCTATCGCTGTTGAGAACGATTTTCAAATAGTTTCACCATAAACGCCAAAAGATTGCGGAATACACGGCGACAAATGTTCGAAGTGAAAGTCAAAATTGGAAATGATAGCATAAGATGAAAATAAATTAAAGAAGGCAAGTATAAAATTGAGAAATAGGATGAATGCGTCATCGATTGCGGATGATTGTTGCTAACAGCAATACATTTAAAAAGCTATGTTAAAAAATTAGAATTTAAAAAATAAATAAAAAAGGTATTAGTATTTTTCCTTTGTACCTTTTATTTTTCTAATAATTTTAGAGCAAAAAAAGACGAAAAATTTTACTGACATTACTGTAGTCGAGAAAGATGCATTTCAGATTGAGTGGAAGAGAGCAAGTAAATAATTTTTTGTTTTGTTTCTTCTTTTTTAAACAGTTTTGTTTTCTAATATTTCTGCACATATATTGAGATTAAATTAATTGAAGCATTAATTATCATCCCCTTTGATCTCTACAATTCAATTCTTTCACGGCTAATGCAAAAATGTTTTACGAAGGTGAGTTGTTCTCATTATTGTTTGAAATCTTTTTAGATAATGATTAGTATATGATAGGATCATTTTAATCAAATTTGAATAAAAATTAATAGTAACCTTTTTCTTCTTCAAGCTTCATACTTGAAAAATTCAAACCTTATTTTTTAAAAGGATCTAATTTTTTATCAGAAATCATATAGATATCTCTAAAATAGTAACCAGAAAGAAAATTAATGAGATTGATAAACAATGGTTAGACATAAAGTATTTTTTCAGAACTCATTGATTTGACGCAAAAATTTATATTTTGCTGTTTAAATTTTCAGTTATTTATGCAAGCATTTAAGTGTTTTTTGAAATTTTTCTTTTAGTTCCTTATTAATTGCACATTTATCGATTCATTATCGTTTTTACGCAATTTGTTTAAAAAAAAAGATGCAACAACTATATCGAGAAAATTAATGTGTTGACAGAATAGATGCCAGCTGAACAATGATCATATGTGAAATAACTGTGACGAACGAACATCGCGTGAAACTTCGCTTCTTATACTAATACCTAAACAATCCTGCTAAATCAATACTTACTTCTGTTATTCCATCAGAACTCATGGATTTATAAAAAGTTTTAATTTGGATTTCAAAATTAAGGCAAGGAAGTAATAAAAAGTCATCCTGAAAATTGAACAACAATTAAGGAAAGTAAGATTAAATATTTTTCTATAAAAATGATTGCTAAATTTAATTTTAAAGTTTCAAATATCAATTAAGTTATTTGGATTTACTTACCAAGTAAATTGGTTGTTTTTTTTTGATTTTCTTTGCATGTATTATCTTTTTTTAATTTTACTTATTATTTGAGACTCATTTTTTGATTCCTTTATTGCCTTCAATTTTTATTTTTGACTTGCCAATTTGTTCCATTGATAATACTAAATCAGATTTTCAAAATAGAAATACTTTCATTTATTTCGTTTCATTTTTTTTATATTGTTGTAAAGAAGTATCATTTATTTAATTTACTAAAAAAAGTTTTTCGGCAAAATTTTTCGAGTACTTCAATAAGAGAGAATGATGAGTTTCACGAAATACAAACAAATTTGTAATATTTTTGAAACTTTTGAGGGAATTCAGATTTTTTTTGAATTCATACTTGCAGTTCAAAACTTACTCATAATTCAATAATAAAGAGCATAAAAAAATTTTGTAAATCAAAAATTAAATTACGTGTTGTTTATTTAAAATTGATTATCAAACCATTTCATAAAATACCTAACTTTAGAGTTTCATGAGATAAATTTCATAAATAGCGTCGTAAAAATAGTGATAACAAGTATCGACACCGTTTCGGATATTTTAAATAATTTCAAATAAAAAACTGAGGCCAGAAAATTTGGAGGCCTTAATGGCTTAGTAGGGCCAGATAACGAGACATTCAACTTCTTTTAGTAATACATTAAAATTTTTCAAAATAGATGAAACAACGGAAATTACACTGCACGTCGAAAAACTGAAGAATATTTGAAAGAACTGATTTACTTAAATTAACTTTATTCATAAAATATTCAAAGCTTTAAGAAATTTTTCAAACACAATTTCAGTGAATGTGAATTTAATATTGTGACTTTTTTTATTAGCTTTCGACATCACAGTGAAAAATAATCAAAGATAGAAATGACAATGCTAATAATAAGAATGTTTAGACCTCTCCATAAAATTTTTAAAATTTACTAATTAACCTAGCTGATACCATTTTAGCAAAGCATAATTTTCATTAGCACTTCTATTCATTTTTCTTATCTTTTTTTCCATTGTCTAGTTGTTTCCTTTTTTTTGACTTAAAAAAATTTCTTTCATCTGTTCGATCATATTGTCACTTTACACTTCTAATAATTTTAAGTTAATTGTTGAGCTTCTATTAATAGTTCCTGGCAAACCTTTCTCGAAATTAGTAAAACTTAAGACAGAGAAATAAATACAATCAAGCACATATTTCTTAACTAAATATTAAATTATCGAATAAATTTGAAGAAGTAAAATACATTTTTTGCTTTTTTAAATTAAATTAGTATAAAATTATACATTTTCTTATTTTTTTTCTTTGTTTTATTTTTTTAAGTTACATACAATTTTCATCAATAAATCTATTGCAGAAGCATTCTCACCAACGTAATACTCCTCAACCAATGTGGCATATGTGCGCAGCACTTTTGCGAACTTTAAGGCTTTTGCTCATTCTTCAGCTTATGCTTTGTAATTCTTTGTGTAATTCAAAGAGGCACAAACGATATTATCATAGGCGTTTCAATTTAACAATTTCTGTACGTAATCATAATGTTACGGAAGCCAAATTTTTCCGTCTTGTCGGAGTTGAAAATATTGCTGATTTCATTGTCGCACCTGGGGATGTTTTTACGAAAAGTTATGAGGTAAGTTATGGATTTGATGAAATTTCTAAGTTGAATTTTTTTGATGTTTCTTTTTTATACTTGAATCTTCATTATTTCAAAGAATTGATAGTTACACTTAAGTGAACCACCATCGTATGTTAAACTTTTCATTTTATTACTCATTCAATGAAATAAATATTTTTGCAAGCATAAAGAAAAATAATTGTCGGACATTTCTCTCTTTCTATCTTTCCTTCCGTCAAATTAATCATTCAAATGTCATATATTAAATTATTCCTCATAAATTTTACTGATAATATTTCAAATACAAGTTTACAGGCGAAACGGAAAGGCTTCTGGATATTATTTGTCGAATTCCCAGGGAATCGTTATTCGAAATCTCCAAGGAAAATTATTTCCCGTGATTCCTATAAACATTGGGTTTGTGCTTTACATTTTCAACGTATCTTTCTGTTTCCATTCACATTTCTCCTCCATATTCTTTTCTTTTTGATATTCTGAAAATATTATGATAAAAATAATATGATCAATCTTAAAATTTATAATTGAATAATATGATCAATCAATTACAAAAAAAGGAATGCTTTTAAAAATTTTACATCTTTCATTCACTGACAGCATTGAATTGGCGCAAGCATGCTTTTGTAAAGCAAACGAGCAAGAGCTATTCTTCAAATTTAAAAAAAAAATTTAAAAAAAAACACTAATAATATAAAATAAAATAATGGAAATATAACAATGCTATGCATTAAAATGTTAAATGGAAGAATTGCATTCATTTGGGATATTTGTTGAAATTAATTTCGTTGCTAGTCAAATTAGTGAAATGAAAAAAGAGAATATTAAATGTATTATTTCAGATTATTGAAGTATATTATTATCCGGGAGCAGTCGGATTCAGCAGCTGGTATCAAGCATATGACGATGACATGCATATGAATAATATCTTCTATTAAGGTATTTTCAAAAAAATTGATATTTTTAAAACGTTAAAGACATTTAGTTTTATCTGAACAAATGATTATTGATATGTAATTTTCTAGCTAAACTTTCTTACTGACATTTACTTTACTTGTTTGGAATATAAAATAAATAAAGAGTTAATAGCAATTTAGTAAAATTTTTCAAAAATTCAAAAATCCATCAAGCATTTCGCACCAGTCTTAAATTTCATGGAATTACAGGTTTATTTGAAATTCAGTGCCAATCTGATGCAGACATAAGGATAAAGTTTCACGCTTAAATTTGAATAAGTGAACGATGAGAATTAACACTTCAAATATCACATTGAATTTCGAAACATTCAGTATGCGGTCGTCATGCAGAAGTATGACTAATCCATGCATACCACTTTAAAAATAAAATGCTTTTATGCTATGGTGCTAATGCATAATGTTTTCCCGTATTCACTAGAATAAGTAAGTAATGATGTTTTAGACTCTTCAAATGCTGGTACATAGTAATGCTTCAGATTCTAATTAGTGATGCTTTAAATTTTTTAACCATTCGAGAATGTTAAATATTTTGACAAAATCAGAACACAGTTAAACTTCCAAATTAGAATTTATGAGATTTAATATTCCCATTATATTTTAATTGTAAATCAGTTCCGGAATTTTATCTATTTTTGCACAGAATTTTGGGAGGCAATTAAAAATGTAGCATAAAGTTTAAACATTTAATGTAAATCAGACAGAGCAATTCCATCAAAAGATGAAATATTCGGATCGAGATGTTTATAAAATAGTTTTACTAGTTTTCTTTATTAATATTCGTTTAGAAATATCAAAGTTGACAGTTAGAAAGGTATTCCGTAAAGAAAAGAAGCCATATTCCTAGTTTGTGCACGTTCATATCTGCGTAAGATACAAATGAAGGACACAGAGGTTAACTTCAAAATATCAATCTAACAATCTCAAAAATTATAAATATTAATGAAATATTATTCATGTTCCATGTAATCTGCGAGCTATATTGTTTTTGAATCCATTGCTTTAAGTTGCAGTAGTTACTGCTAGTGAAATGACCTTATTATTCATTTTTGTGTATGTGATAACTTTTAACTGCCTCGGGAAGACATACAGGACGTAGTACGTTTCTAAAGAAAAACGTGTTTCAAATATCATATTCTGGCGAATTTTGGGCATTAGGATAATTTTTCCAGGAATTTTGACGATGTAATTAACAAATGTTAAAAATGAGTCCATCCCTGAAGAGGCTGTCATCTCTACTATGCATCCGCGTATAATTTTTTCACTCATTTGCGCATCATTTTTAAAAATCTTTCTATCATTGCTTAAAAATTGTATATAATTTTAGCAGCACCAATTACAATAAAGTTTTGATATTTGCACTTATTAGTAGACACTAAAGGAAATTTACAAATCAATAAAATTTAGACACAATGCACATTGTAAAGATGAAGAGAAGCATGGAAAGATCAAGCTCTAAGAAATAGAACACATAACTGATGAAATCGCTACAGATTCTCTAAATATAAGAAAAATCTGCATTTCAAAATATTAAACTTGAAAAATTTTAATATGAAGAATCTGAAAAAACACCGAATCAGATCCTAAAAAAAATCAAATTTTGTAAAATCTCAATCATAAATTGACCTTAATATGCACACATGATAGAATTGTATTTATCTACGTTTAGAAAAGCAGTAAGTCTCTCAGAGTTAATGCTCTTTCGTAAAGTTGTAAAAACATTAATTATCATACAATATAACTCAAATATATTTGAATAACTATCCACATAAAAGTGAGTAACAAATGCAAGAAATATATATAAAATTTCGAATTTTCAATTTTTGAAGTGACTATGCTTAACCGGATGAAGTTTTTTGCAGCATATAATTTCTTGAATTTCTCTTGGCATGAGAATTACTGCAAAACTACAAGGTTGCAAGAGCCTATAACAGCTAAACGTCATCCGATATGTCATGGATAACATCAAATTTGGCACATAATAATTTTCTTATCAATCTTTAACATCAAGGCCTACAGCATGCATCGAATAATCATATAACTCGGCACATTTCTCTTCCCAATCCGCCATTTCAATGAATGCTTTGGGTACACATTCACTAAAAAATAAAATAATCTTTTTTTTTGCTTAATTACAAAGTTTGCTTCTGTTTCAACAGAAATGAATAAGATGTTGAAAAAAAGAAGGTTTTTAAGCACTAAAATTTATATCAAAGAAAACTAAAAATTTTTTGATTAAGTTTAATATCTCGAGCAATATTTATGGCCCAAACAACAGCTGTCATCACTAATAAAGCTGATAAAATATTAAATAATCAATAAAAACATCACTATTATTCTACTGAAAAAATTCCAAAAATATTAAAGGATAGATAAACAAAAATTCAGAATGAAAGACAAAAATTTTTAATTAAAAAATTTGAATAAAATTAATGTTTTTGATACCTGTAATAAAGTCCTGAAGAACCAGTTACAGTTTTCGATAAAGCCAAAAAAAGCGGGGTTTGGGCTCCATCCTTCGGAGTTTTCAGCAAATACCATCTAGAAGACATAAAAATAACAATATAACTGAAAGTTTTTTGAAATACAAAAATAGAACACATTTCTTATTAATATATGTACTAATTTTATTATACAGAAAGATCATTTCATATATGTAGAAGGAATAAATATACAAACTGCAAGAAAACATACTTCGAAAACCTTACATTGGGTCTTAGTAGTATTTATGCTTTCAGAAGTATATCTAGAATAATATTTAAAAAAAATCAAACGGTTCAAATAGCTTATTTCATTATGAAGTCTTATAGCAAAACTATTTTCCCATATGAAACACTTAAAATTTCTGAGTTTAAATGAAGCATAAAATGAACAACCTGAATGGTGCCGTGATATAATTCAGTGGCTTTTGTACTAGTGGTATATAGCGCATTAGTCGTGTATTGCACAGTCCAGGATGACATACATTTATCGTAACATGCGATCCTTCACATTCTCGTAATCGTCTAGTCAATTCAAATGCATGCATCACCTTGAAATTAAATTGCAATTTTCCCTCCAGAACAACTTATCAAAGCGTTCATTACAATATAAAATCATAAAAATACCATAGCAAGTTTCGACTTCGAATATGACTGTCTCGAATCCCAACCTTCTCTACGATCAATCAGTTGTAAATCAATAGGATCGGCATAGAAATGCGCTAATGCAGAAACATTGATAATACGCGCAGTTGGTGCAGCTCGAAGAAGAGGTAGAAGCAATTCAGTGAGTAAGAAATGTCCTAAAAACTTTCTGCTCTAGTATCAATGCCATTTGTATAACCGCTTATCAATATCAATATTAATAATTGGAATAAAATTTCCAATTGTGAAATCTATATCAGTGTAATCTAAAACTAGGCTGTTGCTGAAAATATAGAATGTGCGGTTTTGACATCCATATCGGCCTAATGATAAAAATGAAAATGTGTCGGTGTAAAACACGGATAACTGCAAAAGCAAATGAAGGATATTTTTGCCTAGCAGAAGCACCAGGAAGATTTAGGCTAAAAGATGTCATATACTTTGATCAGCATATAATTCAAGCAGTTTAAGAGTATTTTTTCGATATTTCAATACTAACCGAGATAGTTTGTTTGCCAAACCAGTTCATGACCATCATCCGTCAGCTTAAACTTTGGATATAACATAATACCTGCATTATTGATTAGAATATCCAAATGATCCTCTTCTGTAATATCAATATGATATTCTATCTTATAAACGTTCTAGCACATGAACTGAATTGAAGCAAAGAAATGCATATTCAAGTTTGATATCAAAGCACATTCCACGATAAATTTTAAATTTAAATTTTAAACCATCAAATATAAGTCATCTTGGTGGAGATTGCACACCAGATTGGTTTCTAAAAGAAAATGGATTCTTAAAAGAAACTTATGAAACCATTGAACTACTAATCAATCTAATAAGCTTTTAATTCACACAATTGGAGGAATTCTCACCATAAAATTAAAGTAAAATTAATATAAACCTTCTATTATTTCTGCTGCAGCTGCCTTGACTGATTTGAACCGAGCAAGGTCAACCACTTTAACCAGCAATCTCTGTGGATTACAACCAAGCTAAGAACAAAAACCAAAATAATTACTTGTGAAATTTGTTAGCAAGTGGCTCACACTTGATCATAAGTTTCAATTTTTCACTTCGGTCACATACATACCATCATCGATTTAGAAGTAACTACTAAGCAGTGTAACATAAAATCAGCCATATGCACTGTTAAACCGATTTTAAATTTACTATTTAACAACAGGAAATAGCAAAAAACATTCAAATATGAAACTTCTTTTGTAATTTACTTTTATCTACATCAATAAAATTTCTAGTTAATTACAATTTCTTAATTTCAACCTTAACAAGTTGAATGACAGCATTCTGAGCTCGATTCTCACTGCGACACAACATGTATACCTTTGCTCCACGAAGGTTTAGCTCTCGTACAATCTGTTTTCCTATACCACAATTACAACCTGTTATAACTGCTACCAAGCCTTTAGCCGTGCTGCGTTCTTTGAATTGAGCACCTTTGAAATAAAACCTTAAACAAGATGAATTAAGCAATACAGTATCATAAAGACTGAAAGATGATTATAAAAGTAAAGCTCAAACTAGGATACTTCAAAATTTAAACCTAAAGTAGTCTTAACCCATAATAAACATAGATCAAGAAATAAAAATTTGCAGGAAAATAGTGCATTCCACCTATGTAGATTATTTTCGAGAACAGCTGACATTTCTTCGAATGAGACAAGATGCTGCATAAATTTGTTTGAAATAATTACCTAAGCGAGATCACTATGACGATAATGAAAATCCATTTAATATCAAATATATTCAACGATTCTACAAATGAAGCTTCCATTCAATGATGCTTAAATTATTTTTAGAAAATCTGCAAAAATGGACAATAAGAACTAGAATCAAAAAAGAAAAAATGAATGACCACCTAGTCATTTTTTTCAAATTTAGATGATGGAGTTAGGAAAAAGTAAAGAAACATTTCTCCAGAAGTTGACGAACTTAGTGGAAGTGAAATGAAGCAAAATAGGTCATGGGTAGAATTAATTTTTAATTGTGCCGGTAAAAGCAAAAAATAAAAGAAAGAAATATTTTGTACGATTGACATAAATATTTCAAATGCTAGGACACATTCTCATTTCAATCTCAATTCCTTCCAAACATTCAAACACTAACGACGGCCTTTTCCAAAAAAAATTTGACTGAAATTTCCATGTACACAAAAAAAAGAATTAAAAAATAGTTTGAACAATAAATAATATTCAACGAATCATGTGTAGATATCCTAACGTTTTTTGAAATAAATGAATCTTATAGAAGTGATAGATAATTCATAATGCTTTCTTTCTTTCTTCATTCGATATGCCAACAATTAAAGGTTGCAATCATAAAAACCCATCAATTCATGAAAAATCAATGTTTAGTACCCGTTACTTGAAAATTTTAAGAACTCAATGATATATCGAATAAAGAAAGAAATTAAAGTAAAACCCGCATGAACACTGCATAATTCATTACTTAGCTCTTGATTATTGCAATTTTTTCCTTCGCGTCTCTGCATTTTTCACTTTTCTTTCACCATAAAAAATGTCAAATTTTATCCTTTTCGTAATAAATCATCATCACCTTATCACGAAAAAGATCAGTAAAAAAGATGAGTTATTCCCTACAAATTCAAAGTCACAGTTGCGAAAAAAAATAGTAGAAATATAAGCAGAATATGTTCTAAAATGAATAAATGTAACAAAAAAACATGGAATGATGATTTTAATAGTTCGGCATAGAGCATTGTAGCTAAAAAGAAATATGAGTCGTTCGCTCAGATGCAGCATTTCTGGGACAGTTTTGTCAGAAAAGTAGGCTCGGAATATTATAGACAGGAAAAGGCACTGACTGTCAGAATCTGCCTGCTAAATCGATTGTCAGACAAGAAATTAATTTTTCTGAACTTCTAAGCTGAATTTTTCTGAACTTCTAAGCTGACGAAAGAAAAAATTAGTGGCTTCACAGATGGTCAAAGCTGAGCAAGATGTACAATAATAATAGTCTAATATGTATAGCTTTACAAACCACTGCTCAGTCAACGAAGTCTGCAGAACAGTAATAAAAGTCGTTTTTTTTCTCTCTTACTACTCATTCTTTTATTTCAGATTGCAATTTCTAGCAACAATACAGACGTTTAATGAGATAAATAATAGAATGAAACTTCCCGAAGAAACTTCCCTACAGATGAACATGAGCTAATCAAAAAAGGTAAAAGATATTCATTCCATGCTTACTCCATGTTGAGGAAAATTGAATTTTCCCCTAGAATAATTCGCAATTCTGCAAAAGAAAAATTCTATGAAAAAACATTCAATATGATATATTTTTTATAAACCACAAAGTAGTTCTGGAACATGATCAGCTAATCAATCAATATATATTTCTCGCCATTTCCATTTCTGTCGTTGATTTTCCAAATCACATTTTTCCATTGATAGTGTTGAATAGGTCACAGATTTAGCTGCTGTCAAACATAAGTAATTGACCTTTATTTGCTCACTTTTCTAAATAAAAATTTTCATCATTTTTTTTTCTTTAAATAATGAGTATGAGTGTTCACATAAGTCCTCAACAAAGGAAGAATATTGTTCTGCTGCTTGTAAGCATTAAAAAAACTTGCCTCATCATAAGCAAAAGGTCCATCAACTGTTCCTTTCACGCAATGCTTCGTAATTAAATTTCCATTTGTGGGAGTTATACACCATTCTCCCTGTGTTAATTGCCCTTTCTTGTTCAGTCTGATCAGCTTGAAAAAGATTTCTCCATTAATGTTATTCAGGGTAAATGAATAAATAAACATTACGCTTTTACTATTCTACGCAATTAGGTGAAAACAAAACAATAAACAAGTCGTAGAAAATCACATATCCCATCAACTTCAATGTTGAAAAAACAACAAAATAAGAAAATTTTTAAACTTTAACTCATTTTACCTGATTCCCACCATAACCATGACATGGAGTTGCGCCAACAATACCTGGCACAGGTCGGCCCATCGTATCAATGCATTTTCCTAAACAACGCAATATAAATTAGGTATTATAAACGATCGAAAACTTCTATTCTTCCATACAGTCGTATAGCTGGAACGAACTTAAATTCGAAACAAGACGGTGTGCCTTAAATTGCATCATCATAAAATGATGGTCATTACCATTGATGAAACAAGCTGGAATAAAATTACTGAAAAATCTAGCAAATTTGGTTAAAAACGAGAATAAAACTGTAAAATTCATAGACAACTATTTAGAAATATTATTAATATAATTTACTATATTCAGTAATAGAAATAACATAAAACAAAAAAGGAGATGAGTAAAAGAAGTACCCGTAGCGTGATTTTTCGCTTCACCCCAGACGTGATTTTCTGGTGGAAGGGGATAAGATACAATAACATCGTAAGCAACTTTTTCCATATACCTTAAATTTTTGGAAATTCCACGACAAAAAATGTAAAAAATTCAAAATCTCAACGTTCAGCAAAAATCATCTGAAGCATAATTAGTTCTGCCTTAGTGACAATAAACATAGAATGCGTGCCAATATAAAGAGAATTGTGAATTTTAAAACTGTTGTAAACATACCATCTAAATGATTTACAATTCAAATTTCTCCTAAGCTCAAGTTGCGAACTTATATCACCCGGTAAGCGATGCTTTGCCGACGGTTCCCGAATGTAGTAATACTTGTCATATTCATCCATCCATGTTTTTATGACACGAAGCATATTCTGAAACTTTTCAATGCAAATTTAAAACAAACATAAGCATAGAAGCTATGAAAGCAAGAACTTTCTTATAAAAGAATAATTACAGTTGAAATAACTGGTTTTCCGGAGAGTTTCCCGAAACCGTACGGCATATGTGACCGATACACATGACCAACATGAGAACATGGTACAAACAAAATTCCGCCTCCGCATTGCCAGATCTGCAATTTTTTTAAAATTTTTTTTACAGGGAAGGAAATAAAAAGTTCGTAATCAAAGCCTGATATTTTAATTTAAAGAATTAATAAGATATATATGCCTCGTATGATTCAAAAAAACGAACTTTGAAGGATAATTCATATTGTTCGCCTCCCCATATTTGCAATCCAGGATCATAATAACCCAGTTCTTCGAACCACTTTTTATTAATGGCAAATAATCCACCTGCATGAGTTGGAGATCTGAAAAATTCCGAAATAAAAAACATTCGCAAAGAAAATCGGATAATTTTAGTGTTGCCAAAGCAAAATTTCGTGAGAAAATCAAAAAATCACAACCTGAATGGTTCGCTTTTGTGTTTTCTTCGTGTCAACTCTTGCGCCGGTATCTCGGTTTCTTTGTACAAAAGTCCCCACTCGAATATACCACTGCAATGAACGGTTTTTGAAAACTAAAATAATCTATACCATATATTAAAATCCACTTTCATAAATTTTCTCTTGCAAAATTATAAACGAAAATGAAGTTGCGAGAAAATTTAATAACCGGTAATGTCTATCTACAGAGCTGTAAACTATCCGATAAGACCAATCGTCTTTGTCAATACCATCTATAACTGGTACTGTCATAACTTTTCTGAAAACAAAATCACATACTTATGTTTCAACAACCAAAAAAAATTCTAGATTTAGACATTTAAGCAATATTTCCTAATCGGAGAAAACTATATAGTGCAACAAACTACTTAAATTTAGATGTTTCACAGAGCAAAAAGAACAAAAATGGTCAGGAAATGTTAACTGATTAACGATCAGAATCTATCTGAATCATAAAAATTAAATCATCTGTATGTATGCATTGGAAAAGAAGAAAAAAAATAGCGAAATATAACAAATTTCTTTATGCTTCACCAATAGATTTCATATCTGGTTTCGGTTAGGCTCGAAATATCTTGAAATTGATGTATTTTAATTATTGTAATAATCACAAACCGGTTGTAACGTAATGGTGCCAGAAGTGGAGGTAACCAATTAATGTTTACTTCACAGTGTGCATCCAGAAATATGATTACATCACCAACTGCCTCTTTTGCTCCTATACTCCGTGTGCGAATAAGTCCTTCGCGCTCAGCATTCCGGATTAATTTCACTTTTCCATTGAACTGCTTTAGGTAAACATCCAAACGACCTTTTAGATGTTCTGAAAAATGAAAGATTTAATAATTATTTCATCATTAATGACATGAAATAAAACTACTTTGAAAGAAAAAATGCATTCCTTTTGCACATTTTTAATACTTTTAAACATGATGAAAATCACTTGCAAAACTACAGATGACTTTTTAACTTAAAACACTTAGACCTTAAATATATTTAATCCACGGTTTCAATGAATACACAATCTAAAAATCTCATCAAGTTCATAGTTCGAACTATGAACTTGATGAGATTAACATAATTATTGGGAGGAAATCTTCGCGCTATATAAGTACCCGATATCTTGAGACTTCAACAGCAACAACTATATTCGCAACTGGATGATAATAACTTTTCAATACTGTAACCAAAAATTTTCGATCAAATATTCTGAACTGCTTAAACTAATGTTAAAGATCTGAAAAAGTCCCATCTACCTGGAAGTGATAAGAGTAACAGAAATATGAAGAGATGGGAAGTATTAAAATCAATTGGGCAGTATCGATGTTTTAAAACAAAAAATAAAATCGAAGCCAGCAATTAGTATTAATCAATTAATATTAATTCTCAATATATCATTTAAGAGTATTTGAAAAAACATATACACAGACACGATAAAAATAGGTTCTTCATTCGGGTAGAGAAGAAATTCTATGAATTAATATTGATATCCAGAAAGATTTTAGAAAAAACTTATTTTAGATAATAGCAGCATATTTATTTAGCTGTGCTATTTTACTAAAATATATTATTTGGTGTGTTAACTATTTATTAAAACACATAACCTATTTGCACACACCGTTAAATTTCAAGCTTTTCTAAAAAGTGTCCTTACAAACGAAATATCTTTTAGATCGACAATATTCCCAGCAATCATCAAATATAAAGCACCTTTGTCACTAAAATCATCAACCAGAATGATTTCTTTGATCAAATGTGGTGGAGAACGTAATAAAACAGAATGAACAGTGCGTAGCAATGGTGTCCAACCTTCGTTATGAAAAGCAATGACAATACTTACGGTGGGTAAATCTTCCGGGTAATGCCAATATTTGCATCTGAAAAAAAAAATACAATCAAGAAACTTGATGCAAAGCGACAAAATATGAACATGCTTTTGAATAGTTGGAAAAAACTGAAAAATTTTAGTATAAAACCCAAAATTTTTTACATACCCTATTTCATTCTTGATATACCACTAAACTTACACTCATACTTATAACACTCACTCATTCATCCTTATATCGGGAATACTTCGATTTAAGGAAATCATGTCACTGACATAAGTGTTGAAACCATATTCTCTCATCGCTCTCATAACTTCCGGCAAAGTTTTATCTACAATAACTGGTTCACCCATTTCCCCTAAAAGTAGAATTTTAAAAAAGCTGGAAAACAATACAGAAATTCTCCTCAGTTTGAGATTTATCATACAGCGGCCAGAGTATAATTTCCAAGTTTATGGAGCAGCATGTTTATTTATGGAAAAAAAAACAAACAATGTGATTGAATCGTTAAGTAAATACCATAATTTCCTGGCTGCCACTGTATCTCTTTTGGTTCAAAATTCCCAATTTCACCCAATTTAAAGACTGTATCTGGATCCGGTTCACCAGGCAATTCATCATCGTCGTTCAGATGTCTTTCCTGATCCTTGCCTTTCCTACCAATTCGTAATTCGTTCTCGATGCTCATTCTTCTGTTGAATTTCAAAAAATAATTGCTGATAGTGACAAGCACAATAAATTTTCTATATACATATATATCATTATATGTAAAAGAAAAAGCTTACCCTCCACGGAATATACCTATGGGCACTTCGCGATCATATTTTATACGATTTCGGATAACTTCCTGGAATTTTAGGGGACAAAATAACAGTTATGTGAGTAGAATGAATGAAAATGAAGCATTCATATGCAACTGTTAGGAATGTATTAAATGACTTGAAATTTATTCAGTCGACCAGCACACAATGAACTGGATGAAGAATAAGTACGAACATACCTGGGACTGATTTAGATTATAGGCAAGAGTAAAAACAAACAGCAGAAAGCATACTGCAAACACAGATAATAAAGATGACCTGGAAGTAAAAAATCCCGTCAAAAGAAATTTCAGGATTCGAAATTTTCAAAAATTTAATTTTAACTAAACCTGAGCGTTTCTTATGCTAGATTTAAAAATCTCAACAAAACCACTTTCTTCTGCTTTATCTCATCCACTCGCCTGCTGGATATTTGCATCTCGAAATGGGACAGCTTTTCTAAGATGCCAAGATTACCAAACAATTAAAATTATGGAAACATAGTTAAACTAAGCTAACCAATGCCGGAAGTAACGCTGCAATTCAAACCACCGTCGTTTTATAGACATTGTCAGTCAGTTGATCATTTATGGATTAACTGATAAATAAATGCACTAGAATAAATGAACTGTAGAACTTATTCATAATTCAATTATTATCACACGGAATGGCGATACTCTAAATGCAGTTGCTATTACTTTCTCCTTTGAGTGAACTGAAAATTTATTTTTGAAAAATATAAAAATTAGATGATGCATCCAAACGCAAATGAATTCAATAACGAGAAACGACCAGGGCGTAAACACCACACTATCAATTAGTTGGAAGATATCACAAGCACAGATCATCTAAAGCATGTGAGCATAGGAAATACTATTCATACAAGTTAATCTTTAGAAAATTTCATACAACTCGCTAATGGGTATCAAGAAGCAAATATTATAAAATTATCAGTATTCTGAAAGCTACTGAAAACATGCATATAAAAAAGAGAAAAAGTCTCAGAAATAGTTTCTGTAATTGTTAATTACTTCCATTGACAATTACATCCTCGTCACGAAAATTTGACGAAAAAATTCCAAATTTCAAATTTTAACATTATCAAACAAATCACCGAAATCATTATAAAAATCAGCATGCAATAACTGCTGCTGTTGCTTTTCAAGTCGTGGATCTGCTGGACCGGAACCGTCGTCAAACTCCATCATATCTGCATTCTGCGAATCATTACCATCCAGTATGCAATAGCTATTAGCACTGCTTCCTGTTAGGACAGTTGCACTTTGAGAACCTGGCATCTCTGCGTTATTTTGAGAATTCCAAGGAACCTATCAACAAAGAAGTTTCTTGTCCGCAACTAGCGACAGTTTTCTCACCGAAACAAAACTAATCCCGTAAAACTTCCCTTTCTGAAAAAGATTTGATTAAAAAAAATGCAAAATTTAGTACCGATAAGGAAAAAAAAATTCGAATCACACAATTTTACGAGAACTCATACATAACCTCAAAATCTATCTACAAGTACTAATTCCTTTACTTAAGAATTGATGATGAACTCTTCCATTATCGGACTTGTTCATCCCAAAAAAATTATACGGAACTCCAAAAGCACTGAAATAGTTTAAAGAAGAAAGATATCGGCGGAGTAGCCAACTCTGATAAAACAACTGCTAATTAACGGATCAACTTCGCAAAAAGCTTAATTTTATTTTCAAAAGAAAAATACTAAACAGATACATCCGAAACTGAAATGAGTGTATAAATTCATAGCAATTAAGGAATTGATTATACGAGGTCAACACCGGAAAAAAAATCAGTAATAACATTTGGATCATAATATACTTGATAAGGACAGAATTTCAATTCCGACAGTTCGGCAAGTACAGTTTTATATCAAAATAATCGCCGTCCATTAACCGATATTTCACCTCCAAGCAATCGAAATGAATTGCTAATATGCCACACCTATCCACTCTTTCGCTAGTCGTTGGTATACTTCCTATTTTCAGTAATATTGACCCACAATTATATCTTTGTCTTTTTGAAACCTTTGAAATATACAGCAGAAAATTAGCCAAAAGATGTACATACACACCTCAACGCATTTTAAAAACACAAATTTCAAAAGGTATGCGCATTATAAATCGAAATTCGATTTCGCGTAATCCTTTCATTGAAAATTGTACAACGTTAAATATAAACAAGAAGTGCAAAGATATGACTGAAATGAGTTGAAACAGTTAGCATGAAACATTCTTCGAGAATTTCAAACCATTAGGTTTTTAAATTAGCTAAATAAATTTTTTTTTTTCATTTCTGTGCTTTCAGCAGATGGTACGCAAGATCTTTTTTAGAAGACATTTCCGCCACGTTGATATTTAAGGTCACAAATTTATATACTGGAAATAAAGAACTGAATAGCTAAGAGGTAGGAAGAAACAGTCAAAAGACAACGTTCGTTAAAGAGTGTTAAAAATATCATCCAGTAGAGTATTGGGCGCCCAAAGAAACTTTGGGAAAGCAATCATAATTTCATTAATTAACAAAAGCAAGAAAAATTTTTTTTTTTAAATTTATGAGCAACAAGACGCCCAGTATGTTCAATAAGCTATATAAAAAAAGAAGTATACAAGCTCTTGGTAGCAACATTCAACAAATTTTTTTTTTCTCATACCGAAAACAGCAAAATCTGCTCATTTTTCCTAGGCTATAATAAATTTTCTAGAAAATAGTTCCCGCAAAAGTCTCACTCTTATATGATTCAAATTTATTTCTGTTTTATTTTAACAGCTCCAGTTGCTAGTGAGGCAACAGTGAATAATGAAAATTTTAACAAATGCCAACTCTTACACACTTGGAATTTAATGACAAAAGAGAATGATGCTGGTACTGAAAAACAGACAACCTAAAATAAGTTAATCTGAACAGCGAATAGAATGATGTGAGTAGACTTAATGATATAACACTTCTAAAGAGAACCAATACGGCTGAATGATCACCTAATAAATAAGATACTGAATGGTGGCATGTTCCCAGTGACAGTTATCGAAATGTGAAAGACGGTAATGAATTTTATCAGAAACACCATTAGCCATTTGCTTCTTCAATTACCAGTTTTTCTGCTGAATACATTTCGGTCTCTGGAAATCATTACTGCATTTAAAATGAAAAATTACAATAAACGCCTATAATATACAAGTTAAATTAATAACCTATAATATATACAAGACTAAATGCAACTCATTTTTAATCCAAATCAATCTGAACTGCTTAGATTAACAAAAGAATAAACTGAAATAAAACTTACGAGCGTACTGCTGGTGGGCATAAATTCACAGAGTCAACCTGCAAAAAAAAAAGAATTCTAAAATTCTAAAATGCTTTTGTCATAATGTATAAATATTTTGCGAAAATATAAAATGTTGATAATAGTCTTGATTACTCTAAAAAAACGTATCATGTGTTTTATTTCCTATATTTGTGGAAGTTTGCTGCTTTGCTATAGTTAAATATTCAAAGGCGAAAGATATCTCTTTGAAAGCAAAAAATTATCGCTTTTATTTCTAAGCACTACAAAGAACTTTAATAGAAGTTAACACTAAGATTGTACAATATTTCGTTAACTTTTCTACTTTCATTCAAGTGCTATAAGCATTATAACTCCTTTCCTTAAAGGATACCATAGAAAACTTACCACCTGTGCATATTCCTCATTTGATTTCAAAGGAGAACTAGCATCTATAATTGCTGAATCAGTTTTTGGGGAATCCATATTAAAATATCTGTTACCATTCAATACCGTACTGTTTTTTTCCCAGGGTGGCGCATCTGAAAATAACAGAAAACAATCGAGAAGGCACTAGTCTTAAGCTGACCATCGTAATGTTTAGTATTTTAAAGAATGGAACTTTTGTTCCAAAAATAATAAAATAGTAAAAGCTTCTCATAGAGCTTTTTTGTATTATAACTCCTTCTTAGTAAAACAACAAGAATTTGAGTAATACGAATTATATTTTCAAAATGAGACAACTATCCAATATCATTTAAAGAAGCTAGAAGCAACAGTATGTGCTACTTTTCATAACCAAATGTAGAATAATTTATTTAAAAAGATTGTAAGGGTTAAGTAATATGTAGTGTTATTGGAGACAAAAAAGTCAAAAAATAAAGGAGAAAAGTATTTTTCTGCCTGCAAAATTGATCTCCATCATATAAGTAAGAACATTATCAAGAAGGTTAACCTAGTTGTAAGAAAAAAAGGGAACTGAAAATTTTGATATTTGTTTAAAGCAACAACGCTATTTGCAAGTCAAATTCGATGTTCTCCATCACAAAATTTTTTATGTATAACAGAGTGTATACTTTACCAGTCACCTTGTTTTTTCACCATATCATTTCATAATTTAAAAAAAATTTAAAAAAAAAGTATACACTCTAGTTAATTTTTAAAATATACTTACCAGGTGTGATGGTATGCATAACTTTCGGTTGATATTTATGTTTTCTTGACTCCTTTGCTTTTACATAATCAGTCCAAAGTGCGAATACGATATCAGATGTAACCATTCCACCCGCATGAGAATGTATGAAATGTATCAGAAGAAAGCTATCTGGATGTATTACTTCGCAAATAAAATTATGCAGAAACCCTTTGTCTTTGCCTAAAATCGATATTCTCCATAAATGCCTTAATTTTCAAGTATATTTTATGTATCAAATGAATATAAAAATACAATATTTTCTTAACAGATGTGGAATGTATAACGTCAAATGAATTGAAAATAACAAAAATTATAGAAACTGTTAGTGCAACAAGTATAAAAGTTTCTCAGCAAATTTTTGGAGAGCGAAAAGAACAAATTCAGCAGATGAAACGATTTTAATTGATGACCTTGAAACCATTTCTTTTTAAGTATAAAGCCTTCTTGTCCGGCAACAAAAAAAAAATTCTGTTATGTATGTAAAATTTGCAAAAGTGCACTTAAAAATTACATGCTAATGATACCAATCGTCGATAAAACATCGCTTGCTTCTGTTCTTCAGATTCTTGAGTTTTTTTATTCCCTACGTTAACATGTTCGCCGCACTCCGCTATTGCACATAAACGACGTCTAAAATACCTTTTCAATTGTTTTCGTCTTGGACCTATATCATGCCATTCAAAATAAAAGTCCAAGACGAAAACAATTTAGACGAAATATTATAATAAAAACAAACCATGAAAATCTTCTTCCTTACCTAATTCTAGAATGAAATGAAGCGCTTGCAATATTTGAGAGATGTTCCTCAGATAATTCGTTTTCGCAAAAGTCATCATCTAAACGAAATTTTTTTTTACTTTAAAAATTACAACAGTATAATCAAAACAGCTAAACCTGACAAAGATTATCTTATCGCCTAGTCGGTATTGCCTTGAAAGATGAAAAATTTTTCGCTATGTAATCAAGTACAAAAGAAATCAGGACATATTGTGCTTGGAATTGTATATTCAACATATGAAGTTATCTGAAACGAAAAGATGAGGGAGAAAAGCGAGAACCTGCTACCAATCGGTGATGTGATTCTATGATTCAGTACTGTAATTAGCAGCATCAATTATTCGCCGATTATAAATCAGGATTATTAATTTAAAAACTTTAAAATTCCATTTTTACTCTTTGCGAAAATGCCGATTTGAAAAGCAATTTTCTATATTTTCCGAACATTTTCGGCATACAAAATGACTTTTACTTAGAAAATTAAATATGATGAAAATCGCCAAAAATTTGTCAAAAAAAATTTAAACCACAATATTTATCAGCAGTTTATTTATCAGCAGTTTATTGTCTTTAACTTGCATAATAAAATTGTGCGCAGTTACAAACTCAAGAAATAAAGCTTCTGTATAATTGTTAAATAAAATATATTAGGAAAACTGGAGAAAATCTTGAAATAAAAAACTAAAAATGTGTTTTCGGAAACAAAATCATCATTTAAGGAACTCTTCATAGAACTCACCATTATCAGAGAAGTTGTCGTCGAATGATTCTTCTTTATAAACGAAAGCCTGAAATGTCATGAAAATATTCATATAAAATCATACGTGTTCTAAGTGCTTAAAAATCTTCAACCATAAGCCAAAAAATCCAAGTCGATTTTCAAAATCGTTGTTGGAATTAAAAGAATTCCAAATCATTTGTAAAGCCATTTTAGTAAGGTTTTATTTATCAGTTCGTCTATTCAGATTTTCAAATTTCGCATTTGTCATAAAAAATATACTTGCTGCTACAAACTAGCGGTCAACGTTTCTTCTACTACTGACACTCCGAAAATTTTGTAGTATAATATATATTATAAGTAATTTATACTCATAATATATAATATATAGCTAACAATATTGAGTAAATACTATAAAATAATCCACTTCTAAAAACAAAGCAGTCATACCTGGAGATAATTTAATATACATCGCTCACGGAATATTGGTACGAATAATATGGTGACTGTATAAATTGCGCTGATAATATTGACCGCAAGCAACAGCAACAGCCATGCAGACATTAATGCGAATATCTATTCAATTATTTTTGCAGAAATGTTTCGCTTAGTCAAATTAAAAGATTAAAACAGTTAATGATATGAACAAATTTAATGAGTCCGTCAATGACATGCTACTGTTCTATACATTCTGCGTAAAAAAGGAGAGGACCTTTTCATTGAGTATATTTATTGCAAGCGCACACTGAACTGTTTTGCGCTGTACATTGGCAAGTTCATGTTTTATATAGTCGCAATATACCACTCGAGGAAAATGTCCAGTGATCGTCCAGTCCTTGCCCGTCCAAAGATCTTTGAGTAGCTGCAAAAAATTTGATCAGGAAATTAACGTCTCTAAATATAAAGTAATCCATGTTGCCACAAGAGTTCAATGCTTACGAATGAAAATGAATGATTATATGCTAATAATACACAATTCGATATAACGAACAATTAAGTTCAGCAGAAACTACTAATAATGTAAGAAAATGAACTATTTATAGTAAAAGAGAATGTAAATTTATTTGCGAGGATATGATATAAACATTTCCTGCGTCACTATCAGCATTATACGTAATTAATGAAGTCAAACAAACCTGATATCCCCAAAATAATGTTCCATCACCTACAAATATGTTGACGACATAAAGCTGCAAGATTGTGTTTGCAATATTCAACAGTTTTTGAAGCACATAAACGAGCGATGAATACCACCCAATAAGAGCAATACGTGTGAAGCTCACAACAATAGAGCGACGAACTGGATAAACCATACACTGCAACGTTTTCCAGTGCACGATCTATATACTATCAACTATATACTATCAAAGAAATGAGCAATTTCGATGCTCACGGCATGTTTATTTTAAAGCACATTCTCGAAGTTTCAAGACTTCTAAAGAATATACTTTAAAGAAGTTAAGAATATACTATTTACTGGTTATCCAGTATCGGATATGTGAATCAATTTAAGCAGCGAATACATTAGAATAACTGATTTTGGAATCAGAATGCCAAATCAGTCTCTGAAGCTTTCCGTTCATGCAGTGAAATCGTCAGTGCGAGACGCATTGAATAGAACAGACTAACTATGGGATTCAAATAATACAAAAATTCAGATTTCAACCTATGATTTAAATAACTTATAATGACTACTCCTTTTTCTTCGAACTGATACTGGCTATTCTACTCACTATGTTGTTTATTCATAAGAATGCAAAAAGAACCTTAACGTACACTAAAATGTACTTCAAATATGAAATGAGAACCAATATGCTAAGATACAACTCTTTCCATCAAATAATACCCAGCATCACTATATATGTTACTAGTTAAAAGTTGAGATCAAGTTCTGTTTTTTTTATAAAAAATAATGGATAGTATATCTAGTAGAATACCTATAGTAGTGGAATGCATACGATACTATTAGAACATATAACTTTGATAGTAGCATTTTCTTGAAAAAGTACTACCTGTTCAAGATATCGCACCAAATCTTTCACAGCTTTATTGCGTTCGTCTGTGAAAATATTGTATATTCGAATTGATTCATCCACTGCAAGCGCCATATCCAAATCTATGTGAGAAAGAATTTTTAACACTGGCAATTTTGAAGAGAGGAAATGTAGTCTGTTAGTTTAAAAGAAATTAACTGCAGTTAATTTCCAAAGCAAAGCAATACGAATATTTTTCATGTGAATCATCTTTATTTTTTATAAACAAGAATTTATGAGATTTTAAGGATGTGTTGAGTGTTTCAGTACTTAGAACAAGGGAAATTGCTTTAATTAACAAAATATATCAATAAAAAACAGAGCTGATAGAATAAATATCCTCAAATACATAATAACAATCGAATTACGCTTAAAATTTTACGGTGCAATCCTGCTTAATACGTAGAAGGAGGGTGTATTGTCACAGAAAAAAATAAAAATGAAACTAATAACAAACCCTACAAAAGAAATAATCTAAAGTATTTCCGCATCAACATTTATGAAACTTACTGCTTAATTTTTGAAACCATCTCCACAAAAAATGCGGCACATAAAAAGCTAATGCTTGAGCAGCCAAAAGAAACGGCACCCACTGCAATAAAAACTAAGGAACTTTGTAACTTATTCTTCGCCTTCATTAGATTATTCTTTTCAGTGATTACTTTCCACACATCTTGTCTAAATAGGTCGTTGATACATAGTGATGTAAAGGTATTTTTAAACATTAAGTTCAATGTTATTGACAGAGGACAAAAAAGAACAATAAAGAAGATTTTTTTTATAGCTCCAAAATCTCAATGAGTAAGTTTAGCTAGGATGGACTAGTCATTTCTTTTTTCACACTTAAGAGTAAAAACAAAGTGTTACTGTTTCCAAATCATTACCGAAAGACAATCTGTGCTAGCACAACCACAATTACTAGAAACTAAATGTTGTTTAGAGATTGAATTTTACCTGGTAATAATTTTCATACTTTTTCTCATGAGTTGGGTCGAATACAGCAAGTTCCTCTGCTTCATATTCAGGTGGTGTTAGTGAATAACGTTCCGATATGAAGCAGTAATCATGTACATAACCAACCCAAGAACCTAAGAATGGAACTCAGAATGCAATTAAATTAATAATTTTCTCTATGATGGATAAGTACGTTTTTTTACTTCTTTTCAGTTCTAAGTAGCTCATAACTTTCCAACAAATGCAAATAAAAAGGAAAAAAATGCACCTCTTTTATCTTATTATTGAGTTAAAGATCTGAAAATGCTACATCTAATGAGATGTAGCATTTTTTTAATTGATGAAATGTATAGATCTTTTTATCAATCAAATTACAGAATATTAAACAGAATATCAAACAAATTGCAATAAAGGCGCTTATGAAGAAAAAAATCTCACGAACGCTAGAAAAAACCTTGAACCAACCCGAGTATTGCCGATCAACAAGGCAACGAATTGGCGCACCGAAATGCTGCTTAGTGCCGGTAAGCAATGAGAAAAACAATAATGCTAATACTGTATAAAAGTAATTGCAGCGATCTAAAACAGCATATCCAAGAATCACTTTACGTTGAAAGCCAAATCAGCGCTCAATCTAAGCTGTATTTTTTAATACTGTTAAATTTCGTTACATTCTGTAATCCTGACACTATTTTGTAACATAGTTTCCTTTTCCTGCTTCTATTATTTATCATATTTTGAAATCACTGTTTCAACAAGATTTTCCGTCTCTTGTTTGAAAAATTGCAATTAAATTAATATACTTTACTTTAGACTGTAAATAAATAATTATGAATAAAAGATCATAAACATTGTCATAAAAATGACGATGCACGAAATTAATAAATTAGCTAACCATCGAGAATAAAGAATAATAAATAATAAATAAAAGATATCCCTCCAAATTGCTGCCAATTCCCTAACTCAACAATATGTTATCAAAAATGATAGTCATTACTGATTGATTTCATTATATGTTTTTTTATTATCTATTTAAAGGAATAGATCAACATGAAGAGGCATTTCATCAGATATATCCTTCCACTGCATGAATTTCTATCGAATAGACATAAATCTGTTAAAAAAACCATAAGTAACTTACCGGGCAAGTCATCAAGCTGCGAAATGGTAACACTTGAGATGAACTTATTCAGACCTGGTATCCCGAGAAACATTCTCGTAGATTGCTACGAAATGTCGTTCAAACCTGAACACCTCTGGGAATTTATTAAAAACGAATGACAACTGAATTGCAACATTTTTATGTGTAAAAGATAATAATCCTCGCTAATTTTTTCTTTAATTTGCATAAATTTAGCATGAGGGGAAAAATCGGAATTGGGATCAATGTTAAGGTTGACATTTAGATTTGGGGTCACACTAAGTGGAAACTATTGGAAAAAAAAATCAAAATTTTTGGGCAGCACGAGCAAGCAAAACGAAGTGGAAATAGCTAAAAGAACAACAAGAAACTGGCGAAGACGAATCCATCTTTTGTCTTACGGTAGCATTGAGGATACGGTGGTGGACACGGTCGAGATACGGTAGTGGGCGCAGTACTTTACATCCACTTTTAATGCCGTGTCCTGTATGAAACTGTATCATATCCGGAGTGCAATTCATGCAGAATCCGAGGTGCACTGATAATTGATTACAATACTTTTTATGCCTCTTAACTGATTTAGTCTCGATGTTTCCTGGCCATACTTAGTCAAAATTATTGCATGTTCTTTTTTACTTGAAACAAATATATAAATCGTTAACATTATTGAAGATCCAAGTTACTTTGTTCTTCTCAGTTTTTGATATTCCAATCACCACTTATCACTAAGTAATCTTACTTCGAGAAGTATTGTGTTCCTCTGTGAAAAATGAATGGATCTTTCTATTTAAATATCTTCCCGTTTCACACTGATAATTTTTCCACTTTTTTCTCCATACGTTCGATTTAGCACTCAACAAGTAGCTTTTATCTTGCCAAATATTTGGGAAATTTATCAGCAAATTAATCCTAGTTTGGCATTTTCTGAATTTATTGAGAGCAATTGATATTTACCGAAAGTTTTTTTCAAAAATACTTGAAACTTTTTGCATGTTCATGCAGAGATTTGTATGCTATGATATTCATTAATGTAGTGCACTGGATATCCCGAAAGTGTGCAGCTAATAAGGATAAGTCAAGAGTCGGGATGAATAAGATAACGAGAGAGTGAAGTGGAAAAGGTAGGGAGTGAAATCTTTTTTAGTTTTCAGTTCAGCTATTTCAAATTTGATAACATTTCTTTTACCACGAAGAAGTTATAAGCACAAATTTATGCGTATTGGTTAATTTGTCGGATGCAGAAAAGTGTAAATGATTATTTCGCTGTTCATTTTTGTAGTTTGCGAAATTCTCGTACTTTCTAATAAAAGTCGGAGAAGTTTTCCATCTCCGTAAATTAGTCTTTCTATTTCGCGTCACTTTTAATTTGAATAAATATGTTATTTGAATGTTGATCGAAAAAGTTAATGTACCTGTTCATGAAATCATAGCACAGTCATGACAGATGCTGTTTTCATTTCTTCTAATTGATGTGTACCATTTTTTAAATTCATAATGGAGGCTCCTTCATTTCTTTTCTAGCTCTTTAAATTGAGTTCTTTTTAAAATTAATAAGTAAATTGAAATTGCGAAGAACGTTTAAGTGTCAGTCGTTGAGTGTTTACTAATCATTTGTAATTATTATCAATCTCATTTCGTTTCACTGGTATACACACCTATGCTGTGCACTCTTTTCTCTTCAATGAAACTTTGCACTTTTAAGAAATGAGACCAAAATACAATTAATATTGATTGAAAATTATTCTATTCTTATCTGTTTGATGCGTTCCAGAATTGGTGAATTCCAATAGGTTACAGAATAATTCAAACCAAATGGCTAACAGTTATTGCGATAATACGGGAACTTAGACCGAACTAACCAAATGTAGTAACTAAGGTATGCCGTTCAGTTTGCATTGTAAAGTCATTTAGGCTTTTTCAATTCATTGATGTTAACCAGCTGTTATTTTAACATGTATGATATTTAAATAGGATTTCACGTTGCTAAAATTCACAATCAATTTTTTCGAGTTTTTTGACTTGAATTATAGTTTAAATGATTTAGATCTACTTCAGCAGTTCTTTAAGAGAAATATTTGAAAAAGAAAGAAAGAAAACATCATGGAATCATAGAAGTTGTTGTCTAACTTCTTATCAATATCTTTTGTCTCGATGAAATTTTCAGCTCTTTGATCTCTTTGATGTTTATATTGCAAATATGTTTTAATTAATGCTACAATTGGTTCTTTGCTACAGCTATTAATAGTACTCTTCAGTAAACAGTACTATTAATAGTTTCTGACTTACATTCTCTGAAACTATTGATAGTATTAACAGTACTAATAATAGTTTCAGAGAATGTACGTCAGTTTCTTAATTTTCACGTTATTGACATATGCATTGGTAGCTATCGTCACAATTATAATTATGGAACTGTGATTATTCATTTATATCTTCTTAAATTTGTTCCAGCTGGAATTTTCTAATGGAACAACTCTAACAACTCTTTGCTGTGACAGCAATGAAGTCAAATTCTTTCGAAATTACCTACGTTCAACTTATGTGAACTATATGCCATCTCTCAAGATCGTGATCATTAGATGATTATATGTAGCGAAATAGGTAGAGATAGAGGTAAAGTTCAGTTCACTTTGAACTCTTGGTGGTACGAAATGAATATATTTTATCCATAGATATTTTAAGTAGCATAAGTTTATGAATTGTAAATGTACGATTTTTTATGTTTATTTTTTGTTATAATTGAAAGGACGATTATTTATTGTTTTAAATTTGCTGTGAAATTGCTTTATGTAATGCTATTCATACGTTTGCTCAATTTTAGATTACTTTTCTCTTCCATCAAAATTAAGTTCATGTTCCCAGTGCATTGTTTTTCAGTAATATCGTTACTATTTAACGAAGAATGACGCATTTCAATACGACCCATAAAAGTTCAGTGCCAATAGTAACGAACAGATGCAAGGATTGCGTAATTATTTAATAGTGATGTAGAAAGTTACTGCAAGTTTTTATGGTATCTTATTTTCAATATTATATTTTAATGCTGCTTGAAACTGAATTTTAATTGTTCGAGTTCTAATTCAATAGTCAGCTTGACAAGTTTTTTTTCGAAATTAGGTAAGATTTAATTCATAATAACAGTTATTTTTTGTAGATCTGTGCATGCATAACTTTTACTTGTTTGAGTAAAATAAGAAGTTATTTTCAAAATTTTTAAAGCAAATACAATCGATAATGTGAAGTGTGCAATATTTTTTGATGGAGAATCAGATGAATGTGATCCTTTCTCGAGTATGTTTACTGTTTATCCTAAAAGGTTTTTAGACATAATTTTTTGAAATTAATTTGCCTTCTCGCAGTTCTATTTTGATTAAATCGATTGTTTGAAACTTCAGCAAAAAAGAAATGTCAAAAATACTTTCTATTTTCTCCAATACTTCGTGATAATAATCTAGACTTCTTAGCTTTTTTCCGGTTATTTTCATTGCCTTCCATGAGTTCATCCAGTTGGATAAGTTTCATTTCGTCTTCCGTTAACTTGAAATCCATTAAATGATTTTTTGGGATGACATCCTAAATCTAAGTAAAATGTAAGAAAATTTAAATGAACTACAAAAAAAATAAATTTTACGTGATAAATTTTGAGTCAGAAATTAAATATACTGTATAAGACTCTTAAATTAATCTTATTTGCTAACTTACCTGTATTTTAAATGATGCTTTAGTATGTGGGAGGAGAACGCGCATTCCATTCCTACTAATTGTGGGTAATTGATTAGCCAAATCTGTTGCCAACATGTGTGCGATGAATGTATTTCGATCCAACACATAGTTCAGCTCTAGGAAGAATGATCATCGTTTTATCAGTAAAGAATTCATCCATTGGTGCATCTCATTTATGATAGGTGAAGTGATTTAATCCTAATAATAACATCTGCGATTATTCTTTCATTCTCCACTACATTATTTTATTAGAATAAATTTATTGAATTACCGCTCAAAAGTATATAATTAACAAATACATCAATATCCCTTTTACATTAAGATACAAAATCCTATTTTTATTAAGATACAAGCAATCCTGCAAATATTATTATTATTCCTTACTTTGTTGATCATTTTAATGGTGTATTCGATGAAATGAGAGAGTGATAAGTATTACAGGCGTCAATAATTTGGATCAATCATTGGATCAGTGAATTGGCTGACATGTATTTACACTATTATTAAGGTTTAGAAGTATTATTTAAAGAGAAAGCTAACCAAAATCGTCGTCATCTTCACCGAATGGATTCATTAGATACTGGCCAACTTTAAGCCATCCAATGTAGAATAGTATTTGAAAGGTTGTAAAAACTGGAAACAATATGGATACTTCTTTTCTCATTGAATGTTCATCAATTTTCGGTTGGCGTCCAATCAAACAGATGATGAAATATCCATAGGTTGCTATCGCTACTACCTTTAAAGCTTGTGAACTTATAGAGTTTTATCTTATTTTTTTAATGAACAAATCGGAAGATTGTATAGTTATTCGTGCAAACTCGTGTACTGTAACATTGACCTCTGGTGTAGAGGATGCTTACTTGCGTATAGACAAGAGGTATCTTCACCCAATCGTAAACGAACAGCATAGCAAAACCATCCCTAAACGAGTACAGTTGTTGCATTAGCATATTGAGTTGCACAGAGTCAATTCGTTGTTGTCGATATAATGTTCCAAACAAATTTGATATCCACACTATTGGTACAAACCTAAAAGCTGAAATCGTATAGTTTTCAAGAAATGTATCAGCAACTGACTGCTAAAGCATTCTTTATTGAACTAACTTTCGCTCACAAATATTGGAAGCCTCTGAAATGACTATTTACTTCGGTAAACCTAAGCTAATTTTTTTATCGTTATATGATATACATATCAATTTGAAAATTCCATTTTAAAGTCTTAATTTAAATTTTACCATTTGCCATGTCTTGCCTCTACACCTGTAAACATTTTATACTCTTCTTCGGTCATCAAATCTGCATCCACTAAATGTCGTTCCGTTGGAAATCGTTTTAGTGTACGAACCGATATTCCGGACCAAGCAATAGCTGCCTAAAATAAAATATTGCTATATTTTCCCGAAAATAATACTATTCATGTATTTCACGTTAATGAATTACTGTTTAGCTCATTGGCTCAACTCATTAATGAACAATTTCCAGAACATACCTGTAAGCTAGACCATCTTGCAATAGCTTGTCGAATGGGCAAATTATGATCACCGGGTAAGCATGTTGCTACCATCATCATTAATTTATCGGGCCAACTGATATAATTGAATTGTTCCCACCATCGTGCTACCACAACAGCAACAAAAAAGCCAAGCAAAAAAGATAAGGGAATATATTGGGAGCCAATTTCGCACCAAATAATCCACCCCGTGAAGTATTCTTTCTGTTTTTCATCAAGATAATACCACTGTAACCGATATTCCACTCATATCTTTTCATTCAAGTATAACATCTAATAAAAGTCATTTACTCCAGGTTTACTTTCAAAAAAATTTTTTTTGGTCTTGAGGAATTTCATTTATTATTAAGCGATATTCTGAGTCATTAGTTCATCACTAAGTTCTTAGAATTTCGTCCTCTTCAAAACTCTGAGTTTAAATTCTCGGTTTTCTATCTATTTGATTGAATGACATGGAAAAATAATTTTAGCTTATAATGGATAGATGCATGAATTGAAATAAAATCAATGTACACTGAAGCGATGAATACAAAATGTTGGAGTGAAAATTTTCAGTTAAGTCATTCTGAACAGAAATGATCCATTTAGTAATCACCTAATATTTTCTGATTTGAGTTGAGAATTTTACATCGAAAAGATTTGCTTCAAAAATTGATAATGTTTTTGCATAAAAAACGAAGTGTAAAATTCAGACATATAAAAAAGTTTCTGCTATTCGAAATTTTACAAAATTAAAAACTGAAAAATTTTGGATTTTGAAGGGATTAATATTCGATGCTGTTGTTTATTGCGATAAAAAAATATTCAAGAAATTTGCATTCTTTTTTTATCACTTATGAATATTTCAAGGGAGGTCTTAAACAAATTATTCAGTACTTTCAGTGTTTGGATTTTTTCCAAGACAAATTTTTTTTTGTGTTTTCTTAAAAGTAAATATTTAAGCAATAAATTAGAAAGATTTATGACAAAAATAATACTGAGCAATTAAAATTTTGAAATTACCTGGAAAAACAGAATAATATAATAAACAAAGTAGAAAGCAATTAAATCCTTTAGTACCGCTTTCCACAGTGATCCTCGCCATCGTAGCATAAATGAGGACAATTCCTCGCCATACGAAATCGTCATTTTTTGTAAACTTTAATATCTATATAAAAAAAAAGATATTTTGATTTCTAAACAAGCAAAATAACGAAAGTGTACGATATCTAATTATATACAATTGCCTTGGGAATGACATTCCTATAACACATCAATTACTTAGCTAATCTTATATTAGTTAATGCGATAGACAAATTAGGAACGCTCGGGTCAATAGGTCAAACATGCGTGCATATCATTCAAACTGTAGACAAATACACACATATGAGCATACATGAGCGTGCCGAGAATTTAGCAGTCTCACTGATAGAAATTCAAAGTGACAAATGTTTTTTGGATAGTGTATTATTTGCTCTTTTCATTTGATAGGAGAGATAGAGAAATGACAAAATCATAAATGATTCCAAAAATTTATAGAAGAAAAGCAAATTGTAATATCCAATCAATTAGTGTAAAAGTAATGTTTAATAATCGCATAATTTCAATTAATTAAGTGTACATTGAAATTTAAGAAATCATTTCAATCATTTCAATTAATTAAGTGTACAGTCATTTCAATTAATTAAGTGTACAATCATTTCAATTAATTAAATGTACACTGAAATTTAAGAAATCGAACTCATTCCTTTTATTTTCATATTCAAGATTCAATTCACATCTCAAGATAATATACTGTCATAAATGATATTTTTTGCTGGAAATTCATTCGGAAGAAATACTAGGTTATACCAAATCGATCACATGATATATCACAGCACAATTTAATAGTATTTAAATCAAGTCCAAATTCTTCTTTAACAAAAAAAAGGTAATCATCAAGCAAATTAATTGATCAAAATATAGAAGATGATATAATCTAAGGCGAGGAAAAAAATAATGTAAATGAAATTTTTAATTAATTTCAATTTCCATACTAGCAAGATAATCTAGCAAAAATTTTATCAAGATAGCTTTTCTTTTTTATTTGATATTTAGCAAACAGTACCAGATTAAAAATAAATCTCATCATGCTTGACAATAATCACAACTGAAATGTATCCAAATATAAATTTTTCATAGGTCATCATTGTCCTAATTAAAAACAAATCGCCAATAATTTCTCTAAAAGATTGCCCGTCGAACTTGTGCGTACAGGAGAAAAAAACATGTTCTTGATGAAAATTCCCCTTCAAAAAGTGTAAAATTTACTTACATTTTCACCTCCCCGTTTATCAAACTAGCAAAAGGAAAAAAAATTTGATCATTAACAACCTTTTGCTCAATTTTTAAAACGCTCAATATTAAAGAAATTGATTGCATCATTATGAATTACTAATTATTTTGTATGTCTAATTAAAAGATTTTCATCTTATTAGAGAACTGAAAACTTTTTATAGCAATCTTCTGCTACTTCATCATTACAATAATAGATTGATACAGCTTCAATCATAACTTTTTATGATAAATGTCTTTAGTAAATTGACAACATCATCATCAACAACAATAACAACAACAAAAAGCTATGAACTTTTTAAAAACAGAATTATCAGAAAATTTTTTAAAAAAAGAAAAATCGATCAAAATTTAAAAGAAAAAATTAAAAGATTGTTTACAGCTTTTATCAACGTATATAATAATGTCGGTTGCAAATATTATTTTTGTTTCATAGTATTAATAATTCGCAGATCATTATTATTAATATTTTGATGAAGTAAAATATGGAATAATTTACATATCACACTGCAAGATGTTATGCTTTTTTTCTTTTTTTGCTTAATACCTGAGTCCACCATGATGGCAATACATGATAATATCCCAGTTATTTAGACAGACAAAATCATATTCCTGCAGTATGGGAATGTCAAAACGATACGGATCACACATTCGTAAGCATCTTCGAGTAGTACCAAATTTTGTTGATATGAGACCAAATTGTCTACAACATAATCGATTGTCTCGATTTTGGGATGCACAATATAATATAGCTGGTATATTATTCACAGGACATTTTTTCTTACGGAATGTTTCCAGTAACTAAAAGTTGATTACGTGCAATTGATCATGTATATGTGTGTTACGTCAATGTTCAAAAAAGTTGAAATGTTTACTATTTCACACTTTTTTTTATTATCATTTCATTTTTTCTCTCTTTCTTTGTTATCATTTCAGTTTCTCTTTTATCTTTTGAGAAAACAATATCACATTAGGAAGACATTTACCGCAATAATAAAGATGGCTATTGTAGTTTAGACGTAAAAGAAAAAAAAAACGAGACGTGAATGTCGGATGTAAATACTTTAATAATAAAGAGTAAGGTTAAAAGTAATACATACGAGTGATTGTGCCACCTCGTGGTTTGCTTCATACCGACATAATTCGTGACATTCCGGTTCAACGTAAAGCTTACAGCAATCATAGAATATTTGATCAGCAATCTCTTTCTGAACACATGGCGTAAATTCTGCATTAACAGTACCACATTCCTGAAAAAACTATAAAGCACTGAAAAGTAAAATATCGGATGACAACATAAGTTTGAATAATACTGTATATGTATATATTCATCTAAAACTTTTCAAAATATTTTATATCTAAAATGTGACTATTCAATAAATCATTAATGAATATTCCCTTTAATTTGTCGCTTACTTCATTTCTATCATTCTTGCGCTTGATAGCGGATACGTCAACCCAATCCGTAATAACTTGTTCATGCTGTGCTCTGTCACGGAAACAATTTCTAGCTGCCCAATAATGACACTAAAAAGATTGTTTAATTCAAAATTTCATATATAACATTTTAGTGTAATTTCTTTTTGAAGTATAATTTCACTTCATTTTATTATGCATTTGTCCTGAACGAATGATAACATTTCATTGATGTCAATAATATCCAATTTGAAGTACGAAAAATTGCACCTTTTCAAAGCATTTATTGTAGATGAGTGGATTGCAGCAATGTATATAATGCATTATATCACAGCGACTTCGAAATTTCCCGACTCCGTATTCAAAGTATGCAAATACAATGAAATGAATGATCCAAACAGATATCATTGCATCGCTTTTTGGAAATAGCATCTTTAGACAAGTAGTTATCAGTTCACACAACACGCAGTTATTACTTCTATTCAATAATTAATTAAATTTCGAAAATTTAAATTAACAATGGACTGAAATTGTTTCTCTATACAGCGTACCAATTGAATTATTGAAAAAAAAAAAAAACTAAAATATAAACTCGAAATTTCTGTGTCAGAGTGATATACATGCAGCATATTTTTTACAAGAAAACAAATTTGAATAAATCTACTTGTGATACCGAATGACATAGAAATGATCTATAAGTAAATTTTTTTTCGAATAATTACAATTTTCGCATCAATCAAAACTTCATTTTTAAACAAATGAAATGAAAAGATCAAACATTGAGTAAAATGATGGGAGGCATCTCATTCAAAATATTAAAATTACATCCCCGTTTCATTTTAATAAATGATGTAAAAAATTTGCCAAGCATTTTACCCTGCGGCAGATAAATTTAGAATTCCCATAGAAAAAAGATAAAGGATGCATTTACTTATTGTAGCATTCGTTTTAAAAAAAATCATTTTTAGGATCATAAGTAAAAAACAAAACAAAATTGTCAAATTCCGAATTTTTTTCTTTCAATCAGGAAAATTTCAGACATAATGTTGCAAAAATATATTATTGATAGGCAATAAATGATTCAGAAAAAGAAAGTTAAAAGTATAGAGAGAATTATCTCAGCACAATTTTGAAGTAATAGTAAAAAATTTTTCTTCGATATTTTCAATACTTCGTGTATTAGCATCTTAAAATTTAATTCTGTTCGATTAAAAACAAGAGAAATCAGGAAAGCTATCTACAAGAATGATAAAAATGTAAAGATACAAATGAATTACAAAATATATCATTCAGCAATTTGCTGCAATTATTCAAATATGCAGTCAAATCGAAATAGCCTATTGTTGTATATCATAAGAAATGAATATATTTTATGATATCAAGATAAAAAATTAACTATCAAGGTCTTCGAAATGAAATTTGCTGGAAATTTTAAAATGAACTTTCGAATGGATGTTTCAATTTATTGATGAAAAATATGCATTTTTCGAAATTCATTGGTTCATTTTGAAATTGAAAATAATTTGTGGAGTTTTCCAGCAGTATCTGGGATAGCAGACCCACTTGCTCCTTAGCTGAGAAAAAAAATTATAGTGACAGATATAAAGGATATCTACACTTTCCATGACCTTGACAATAATAAATGGAATGCCGATGGTATCATAACGAAATAATGTTTGTTCCGAAGAACAACGCTCTGCACCGATATTTCTTTTAGCGTTCATTTAACATTACCGCTGTCATCACGATCATCACTACTAATGTTTCAGTGAGAAATTCCTGATCTTATTTTTCCGAGTTCCAACTATTAAT